AGGAATTCAGTCCAACAGTTTTGTGGCCTTTGAGACCTACATGGACATGGAAATATATGAATGTAGATAGATCATTATCAAATATTAAGAAAAGAAATATAACAGACACCTGTCAAGAATTTTATAATAAAATACAGAATAAATATAATGACTATTTACAAATTTATACTGATGGTTCAAAAGATCCAAAAAATGAAACAACCAGTGTAGCAGTAGTGATTCCTGAATTAAAGATTAATATTTCAAAAAGAACCTCAAATTATCTGAGTGTATATGCAGTAGAATTATGTGCCATATTATTAGCTTTAGAATGGGTGGAGGATGCTAATATAAATAAAATAATAGTATGTAGTGATTCATTATCTGCATTGTTGAGCATTGAAAAGGGAAGTACAAATAATCATAAAAATATATTATATGAGATTATGATTGTTTATCAAAGATTATGTGAACAAAATAAAAATGTAATATTATTTTGGACTCCTGCTCATGTGGGTATTTTGGGGAATGAAAGAGCAGATAGGTTGGCTAAGGAGGCTATTAAAAAAGAAGATATTGATATGCCAATAAAGTTATCTAAAGCTGAAGGAAAAAGTATAGTTAGGAGAGAAAGTAAGAAGATATGGAAAAGTAGGTGGGATAATGAAATAAATGGAAGGCATTTGTATAAGATACAAAATACAGTTGAGGTAGAAAGGATTAGAGGAATAAATAGGAGGGAGGAGATCATTATAAATAGAATAAGAACCGGTCATAGTTTTTTGAATGGAACTCTTTTTAAGATGGGGAAACATCTTACTGGTTTATGTAATTGGTGTGATGAGGTAGAAACAATGGAACATGTTTTTATTAGTTGTACGAAATATGTAGATCAAAGAAGAATATTAAAAAATGAATTAGGTAGTAATAGGGATTTGAAATTTAAGAATGTGGTTGAGCAGTTAAATGATACTGAGGGAAAAAAGAAGATCTTTCGTTTTTTTAAAAATACTGGGATCATTATGAGAATTTGAGGTTTAGACAATAGGATCCAGTAGAGGGCAGTATTAAAAACAATCATGGATGTAAGCTGCCGTTAAAAATCAAAGAAGAAGAAGAAGAAGGAGTCAGTTGACCAATGACGTGTTGTGGCGTCATAAACAATCGCCCTGGCGACTGGTTTTAACGCTGGACGGTCGCTCTTTAAGGAATAAAAAATAG